CGCTGTTTCAGGGCCCAGGGTCTCCCGTAGCTGAGCTACGCAGTCAAGGTTGACCTCCTCAGCACTAGGCTCACAGGTAGCCACCACCAGGCCAAGTTTACAGGAACAGAGACTGAAGCCAGGGTTTCACACGTGCTAGACAAATACTCTACCAACTAAGCCAAATCCCTCTCCAGTTTTTAAATCCTAAAAAAAAAAAAAAAAAAAAAAAAGGGTAAAGCCTATATTTATTTGGTCTCATCTCTCATCTAACAAGAATCTATTAAAGTTATCAGTCTCAAAAAGAACTTTTTGGGGCCAGTGAGACGACTCAGCAGGTAGGGCTCTCCCTAGGAACCCCGACGACCTAAGATGATGCCCAGAACTCAGCAGTGGAAGGGGAGAGCTCACCCGCACAGGCTGTCAACACGCTGACCTCCACACCTGGTGGCATATATACACAGTCACAAAATAGATAAAATTTTTTAAATTTAAAAATATTTTCTCCTCTTTTTTCAAGACAGGATTTCTCTGTGTAGCCCAGGCTGTCCTTGAACTCACAGAGAGCCATCTGCCTCTGGATCTCCTTAGCCCACTCTTGCCCACTCGTCAGTTGATCACACATCTCTGATGCCCAGATAGACAACCTGGACACCTGACTTCCCAACAAGAAGCAGGAGCCAGGAGAGCACCTGCCTGCCAGCCCTACAGGCTCAGTTCCATGGCATCCTGGCTGAGACACTGCCATCTGCTCACTTTACAGTCTGACTGCCCATGGCGTAGTGTGAGGAGGGACAAAGCAGGACAGGCCTGTTAATGTTTAAGTGTTCCCACTATCCCATCTCATGCCTTGAACCCAGGGTCGATATGCACTTCAAAGAGCTATTTATAAAAATCGAAATTATGCGAGCCTATCTTTTTATCATGAAGTTCCAACATTTCCCTCCAATTTGGAAGTTATTAAAAGATGTTTCTGAAATCTCTTATTTTAAAAAGTATTTTCGCTGGGAGAAACAAACAAAAAAGACAGAAACATTGCAATTTTAGCCGGGCAGTAGTGGTATAAGCCTTTAATCCCAGCACTTGAGACAGGGGCAGGAGGATTTCTGAGTTCGAGGCCAGTCTGGTCTACAGAGGGAGTAGGACTGCCAGGACTACACAGAAACACCCTGTCTTAGGAAAAAAAAATTCCTGTTCCACTGTGGTAGGATATTTGTAAACCGTGTGAAGATGTATTTACTGTGACTGCTGTTATACCAAGCTGAGTGGCAGTATCTAGGCAGGAGGTATAGGCAGGACTTCTGAGCAGAGAGGGAGGGAGGAGTGGGACATATAGAATGAAAGGTAAAAAGCCATGAGGCAAAACGTAAATTAATATCAATGGATTAAATCATGTTATAAGAGCCAGTTGCCATTTGGGAGCTGACAGGACAGAGAAAGACTCAATATATTCCACAGACTTCTTATTCAGAGAAATCGCAAGTTATCAGGTACCTGAGGTATCAGGTCTTACTAAACACGGTGGCCCTTGCCTGGTCATACTGGGCTGGGCACACAGCTCAATGAAGAAGAGAAAATATGGTCACACTGCTGACGAGAAAACCATTAAGTGGGTTGGGTGAAGCAACTTAATGCAAAAGTGCCTGTCATCAAGCTTGACGACCTGAGCTCCGTCCCCAGACTCTCACAGTGGAGCGAGTATGCCTGCCAGATGCCCTCTGACCTCCACACATGCACTATGGCACACAGCCCTGTGTGCACACAAGATAAAAACAATATTTTAATGGGGCTTGAGAAATGACTCAAAAGTTAAGAGCACTGGCTGCTCTTCTGGAGGATTAAGGTTTAACACCCAGTACCCACAAGACAGCTCACAACTGTCTGTAAATCTAGTCCCAGGGTTCTGACATCCTCTTCTGGCCTCTGAGGGCACTGCATACATACAGTACATATACATTCATGCATGCCAAACACCCATACATTAAAACAAAGGGGGTGGGTAATTAAAGACATAGAAAACTGCTCAGTGGGTGTGATGGCAAACACCTTTAACCCAGCACTCAAGAGGCAGAGGCAGGGGGATCTCTGAATTCGCCTGGTCTACGCAGAGAAACCCTGTCTTGAAAATCCAAAAGAAGAAAAAAAAAACTACAAGGGACTAACTAACCAGAAGGATAAAAAGATTAGCTCTATTTATTAAGTCGTAGCACACAGCAAGAGAAGATGCCCGACAGGGAACTGGGGAGCCATAACTCTTGTCTCCTGGTCTATAAGCCACACAGAGGCCTGTGCAGTGAGGCACGCTGGGATTCCAAACAACTGCTCTTTCAAACTCCACTCTGAACTGTGAAAAACTACTCAGCACGGGAAAATACACTTTGATGTAACACAGAGGGAGCCGGCCGGCACACTGGGTGCTTGTATTTGTTACTATTTACCAGTGGAGACTTTAAAGTGTTTCATAGGCTGCGCTTCAAACACTTTCTTATTTACATGTTGAAGAAACACACATGCGAAGTACAGTATTTCCAACTTTTAATTACGGTCTGGAATTTCATAGAGGAAGGCAAGCAAACGATAGACATAATCAGAGGGAAAGTAAAGATGAACTCCCACAGTGAATGCTACAGCGACACACCCAATACAAACACAGTGGCGGCGGACGGCCAGGAATGATCTTTACATTTTAAAAACTTTCTATTACTTTTATTTCCCAAATTTCCTCAAAGGTTTCTCTTAAGTTTCTTAAGGGCTGAGTCACCCATTTCCCTTCCCAATCTCAAGAATCCTATCTACTCATCACTGGGTACTCCGCAGGACTGGTGTCGTGGGGAAAAGACTGGCTCTCTGCCTTTTCAATGCTGTCAGAGACTTTGAAACGGGCAGAATGAAGAACCCTAAATCTCAACAAGCTTGATGCTTCCTGAACTGAAGCCCCTCCACTGTGACATTAGGGTACCTACCAGAATTCTAGAAAAGTCTTTTTAGGAAGGCCATTCTTTGCTTTGTCACCAACACACCTACCTAGACAATGCCTGCACAGGTGTTTTTCCTGTGACACACCACTTCAATGTTACAACAGTGCACACTGCTGCATACATAAGAGCACAGGCACTCTAAACTGTGTTACTACTTCACTAAAATTCTACCTTGTATCTAACAGACCATTCTGTTCTATGACTTGTTGTTTGTTGTTATGGGACAGTCTCTTTTAGATAGCCCACATTGGCTTCAAACTCACAATGTAGCTAAGGCTGACCTTCAAGTCCCCATCTTCCTGTCTCTACCTCCCAAATGCTGGGATTACAGGTGTGTCACCCGGTTTGCTCTTAATTAAAAGCTTACACCACTGCAGGAACTGAGCTAAGAGGATAATTTATTTGTAATCACAATTTCCAAGGGCCAAAACACAATTTCAAAACTATGCTTACACTATAGTACACAACTTCTGTTTAGATTTGGAAAGGTCAGATCTTACAAAATCTGCCCTCTTCACATGCTGAGAAGAGCTTCCTCCCGGGAAGTCTGGAGTACTGAGTGGTGAGCACCCACTTTCCGGCCCATCCCTACCACGTACTGTGCACGGCCCAGGCCAGAGGACACCTGGACCACACCCCACTGGGAAATGAGCCCTCCCTTCACTGTCTCCTCTCATTGCTCACTCACAGGCCATGCACCAGCTGAACCTGACTGCGGACTTGACTGGATTTCAAGACCCAGTGCTCAGAAAAGAATGACAAATCCAATGTTGAGAAGTCTCAGATTGCAGCAAGCACTAAAGACCTCACTTTCAGAGCAACTCTCAAGTCAGTTCATTATCCAACTGGAAATCATGTCACTGATAAAGGTCCCCGGAATGCCAGTATTCCCAGCTAAGGGCTCAGCCCTCTATGTAACCAAGAGCAGAGGCCCCACACAACAAAGCCCCAGAGTGTCCTGAAGCAGGGGCCCTCCTCCTGCTGCTCTCAATGCAGAAACATCTGAACGGCAGCCGGACAGAAAAGAAGTCCCAATAAAGACTACTGTGACTCCAGCTCTGAATTAAACTCTAGATCCAGTCACCACTGTGAGAGTAGGAGGCCTCCATGTGGAACGCATTCGTTTCCTCGTGTAAATATCAGTCCCAAAGATTAGAAATGACTGGTTCAAACTGCACAGTCCTAGCCCAGTGACGAAAGCAACCCGAGGGGAAAATTTGCAGAGTTTGACCCGAACCTACGCCTCATTTCCTCCTGCTCAGTCAGTCCTTGTGAGGGAACTGGGGGGTCTCTGGGGAAATGAATGTAAGGGAGGTATGAAGCAAGTGTTTCACCTTACATTCTAACCTGTCTGGGAAATTCCCTTCCATAAATGACTTGCACAAGCATTTGTCCCAATGAAGCACAATAGGTTATCGGACCTACGATTACTTCATTCACCGGATACCAAGGTCAGATGAAGAAAAGTTAAGTGACAGTTCCAGCTGCCCACCCCCTCCAATATCACAAGAGGCTGCCGCGATTATAATTCGGGAGTGGGAGAATATCTACTTGCTCTTGCATGGTGTATTTAAAATAAAGCTTTTAACATTAAAATTCGCTTGGGGGTGCTAAAGAAAGGGGGATGCCCAGGCCCTGGACATCAAGGGGATGTGGACAGGCTGTCACCTGGGTGGAGCCCTCGGAGCTGGGCTGCCGGGCGAAGCATTTGGAAGGCCCACCGGGCGGGGGCGGGAGTGGAGGAGATGCAAAAGGCAGAGGGGCTGCCCTCCCACCCGGCAGAGCAAAGGGCTGGAGGGGTAACTCCAGGCCCAACTATGGACCCCGAAGGCTAGTCCGGGGCGGAGGCAGGGCGGATGTCCCAGGGAGCGCTGCAGGAAATGATATCCAGACTCGGAGGGTGGGTCTAGGAAGCGGCCAGGGCGATGGCCGGGAGTGGGGGGAGTGCGAACGGAGGATGTGGCTCCGGAGCGCAGGACTAGGGAGGCCCGGCGCGGGTACGAGGAGCGAGAGGCGCAGAGGGGCGAGTGGCACCTTACTCACCCCACTCGAGGAACTCCGCCACATACTTGTCGCGGCGCAGCGCCGAGTGGCTGCACTCGGTGTAGAGGCACACCAGCACGTCCAGCAGCGTCTCCACGCTCAGGGCGCTCTCATTGCGCCACGGCCCGTCCAGGAGCAGCTGCTCCAGCTTCTTGAGCCGCACCTTGGCCGACATGGTGCCGCGCGGCCCGCTCCCCACGCGCCGGCCTCTCGCCGCCCGTGCGCCCCGGCGTCAGGGCCAGCACTCCCCAGCCCAGTGGCCGCGCGCCCCGGCGTCCAGTAGCCGCAAAGTCCTTGTCGTCGCAGCCGGGCCTAGGCCGACATCTTGGGCTCTGTCCCGGCGGCACCGAGTCTGGGGCACCGGGCCCCGCGGGTCCATGGGCCGATCTCCTCCCCTAGGCGCCGCCCGCACGCCGTCCCCGCCCTCAGTCGCCTGGCCGCGCCCTCGCGCGCGCCGTCGCCGACCTGGACCGCGGCGGAGCCGAACACAGCAGATACCCGGCCGGCGCCCGAGCCCCGACCTCAGCCCGGCCGGCCGCCCAGCCCGCGACCTGCAAGCCAACCAGGGCGCGGCCAGCGCCGCGCAGCCAACCACCGCGGGGCCGACCGCCGCCGCGCTGACCTCAGCGCGACGCCCCGCCCTCAGCCCGCAGCTCTTTGGGCCTCGCGGTTCGCCGTAGGAACGGTGTGGGGCGGGGTGCCGAGTGAAAAACCGAGATTGCGGGTGGCGCACGCGCAGAGGAGCCCGGGCGGGGCGCCGAGCTGCGCGCTCTGTGTCCAGGGTCCCGTAGTTCGGCTCCGTTCCCCGGACTCCGGGACCGACCTTCGTGGTCTAGCGGGGCTTCTGTCTGTCGCGACCCCAGGAGCAGCTCTACTAGGTCTCGGTTGTCGCGTCCGAGCTCGTCCGAGCTGTAGCCCACCGAACCCTGTGCCCGAGTGCGCTCTCCAGACGCGGGCGGGGCACCTGCTGGAAGGCTCCGGGGTCCGCTGGACGCGCGCTCCCCGACCCCCGGGCACGCGCCCCTGGGGATGCGCAGTGCCCTGCCTCGACTCTTGAGATTCTACCCCCTGACTGATTAGGGTGTCGGCCTGGTGCGCTGAGAATTTTGTCTCCAGACGAGACGCCGCCTTTAGTGGAATCTGCGGATATCCCTTACGACAAACCCCAGGCCTCCGCAGAGGATCCCTTTGTGGACCCCAGGGTTGCTTCAACAGAATGAGGGCTTGTGGTTCAACGGGGGCAGGTGGGGTTTCGAAGCCGGAAGCTGAGTGGAGCCTGAGGCAAAACGCTAGGTGGAAAGACAGCCGCCGAACGTCGACTCCAGCGCAGGAAGCGACTGAAGGGTCCCTGGAGCCTTCTGAGCTGCTGGAAATGATGTATTGGGGTCACACAAGCACACAAACGTGTGTATCTAGCCTTGGTTTTTAAAACGCAGACAAAATGGCCCAGTATAGTAGGTTGGGTAGAGCGACCCCTCATCAGAGCGGTGTTATCGCAAGGGAATCTATACACATAGCGTATTCACGAGTTACTGCATATATTTGATGCCCAGTTTTTAGAATTTTAAAAGAAAAGCCAAGAGGATCGCACTACCCCAAACCAGAATCTGAGTACTGTTTGTAAGACAAAGGTCCAAAATAGTGTGACCAGACAACTGAATTCCTTTCCTGGCAGAACCGATGCTTTCTCTTTGTCCCATAAGTGTCCCCATGAGAGCGCGTCTTCTCTGACTGGCTCTGTCAGCCTTCCAAACCCTCTCACTGGAGTCCCTGAGCCCACTCTCGGTTGCTTGCCTCTATTTAATCTCTCCGGGTTAGAACTTCGTACCTGCCCACCCCCACCCACCCCTGCCCGTGCCATTCATCAGTGTCTCTCCCAGCTACCTCTGCTGTGTCTGTTTATTCCAGATTTGCTTCCACACTGCCTTTTGGGCCACCTCACAGCCCTGAGACAGATCCACCCCGGGTGACTCTGTAGGCTTCCTCTGAACTTAAAACAGTGGGTCCGTATGGAGCTGGTTCACTAGCCTGGGGCCAAAGGTAAAATAACTAAACAGTTATTTGTGTTCCTCAGTTTCCTCGAATGTAAAAAGGAGTATCTCCTATGCATCTCAGAGAGTTTGGAAGGGGCTTTGTGAGTAACAAACACCCAAGGAGCACTTGCCCTCTGCCCTGTCATTGACTTTGGTGGCTGCTATTGGGGCATTAGGGTTAATAGTTTAGAAAACAGAAAGTTTGTGGCCAGCTGATGGGTGAAACAGCCTTGGGTACTGGCTTTTGGCCCTCGATGCAGGAAGCCTAGCTATATCGTCTCCGGCAATCATGAGAACACACAGTAAACTGTGTGGACTTGCCAATGTATTTCTGAGCTTTTAGACCAAAACACACATCTCAAAATGTACACAACAGGCAAAGACTTGGTCCAGAGTGAGAGAAAGGTTTCCAAGCATTTCCCTTGATAATCTACATAGGCAATCTGGAGGATTGACTCTGAGACCTTGAGAATTCCACATCCACACAGATGATGTCTAAACAAACAAGGGTGGATCTGTGCCAGTGAAACTTTATTTCCAGAAGCCGGTTTGCTGGGCTAAGTTTGCTGACTCTTGCTTCATAATACCAGCTTTGACAGTGGGATTCCAGGCCCAGAGACAATGCTTGTTTGGGAAGAGGGATCTGACTACAGGCAACTAAGTTTCCTTTGCTCTGTAAATCAGTGTGAGAAAGGGACTTGTAGTTTGTACCTGAAAGTATCCTTTCAGATCACAAAGAACAGGAGATAACCCCAAAGAGAAAAGAACAAATAACAGGAACAATGAACTATACAGGAAGCAAACACAAAGAATCAATAGACAGAATTTGCTTGATCTAACTCGTGTTTAAAAATTAAAGAAAAAATTAAAAATCCTCCCAAACTTCTGCTTCCAGGTAAGATGGAATGGGCCATAGAGGTTCGGGCCTTCATTCCAACATTGGGGAGACAGAGGCAAGAAAGTGACTGGGAGCTCTAGGCCAGCTAGCACTGAGAGCGAGACCCTATCTCAAACAGTCCGGAGGAAGGGAGACATGCTTAGTTGGTGGAGTGTTTGCTTAGCATGTGCCAGTTCCAGGGTTCTGTCCAGGGCACTGTGTGTGACCAGACATAGTGGAACATGCCTGCAATCCCATAATCCCAGCATTCTAGAGGTGAAGGCAGTAGGACCAGAAGTTCAAGGTCCTCCTTGGCTACATCGAGTTCAAAGACAGAATATGTGAGACTCTGTCTTAAAAATCCAAGGGATCGGGGCTGGAGAGATGGCTCAGAGGTTAAGAGAACTGACTGCTTTTCCAAAGGTCCTGAGTTCAATTCCCAGCAACCACATGGTGGCTCACAACCATCTGTAATGAGATCTGGTGCCCTCCTCTGGTGTGTGGGCATACGTGGAGGCAGAATGTTGTATACATAATAAATAAATCTAAAAAAAATCCAAGGGGTGTCAGAAATCAGAATTATTCTTTTACGTAAGAAAAATATAGATAGAATACATGACATAAGGAATCCTGTGACCATGAAAAACAGGTGTCTTTCTACAGATAGCTGTGATCCCTGTCCCTGAGATATGATTGGCCAGAGATGAATGTTCTCAACCATCCAGGAGAACTGGGGTGGAGCCCGGTGACCCTGAAGCTTGAAGATGATTGGGGCCAAGGAGACAGCCACAGCTCTCAGGATGGCACTCGGCTGCAAGGGTACTCCACAGAGCACCAGGGCGTCCTCAGGAATCCAGCGGCCTACTTACCAATGCTCACAGGGGAAGAAAACACCCAGTGCCAGGGAAAGAGGCTTCCAAAAGATTAGAGGAACGGTATCTGGTGCACAAACAGACAAAAGGATCATGTTGTTTCCCACGAACCAGACTAGAACACCTCATAATTCACAGACACTGGATAGAATGCTCTCAGGAAGGTTGCTGAGTTGAGTTCAGCAGCTTTCTGTCATAGTGGGGAAAAAATGGCCGAAAAGCGTCTTTACATCATGGCAACCAGGAAACAGAAAGGGAGGGGAAAGAGCAGGTGCCCAGCATACCCTCCATGAGCATGCCCCCAGTGACGTCTTTCCATCAACTAGGCCCCATTTCCTCAGGTTCCCATCACCTCCCTCCCACTAATGCTACCAGCTGGGGAGCAGGCAGTCAACATGCAGGCCTTGAGGGAACTTCAGATGTCAACCAAATGCCAAACAGTGTGCCTTACGGTGGGATCACCACTCCAGACCCCTTAGATAAAGGCCTAGACTGAATCCTTGAGATTTGGCTTCACATAGAGCTCTGGTCTAGCAAGTGTGAGGCCCAGAGTTCAGCCCAACAGAGGAGGGGAGAGGGCGGGGCAAAGAGAGGGCACTAGACAGAGCATGCTTCCATGTCTGCCTAATAACTCATCAAAACCAGACAAAGTAATATCAAAATCTTTACAAATAGCTTAACTCCATCCTAGAACAAAGCTACAGAACATTTATTGGAGGCAAAGTAGCGAAGATCCCAAATGGCGTCATCACAATGCCTGGAGTCCAGCCAGGAAGAGCCAAGCTCTCGAACCAGCCAAGAGGAAAGCACAGCCTACAGCGAGGAGATCAAGGGTCAGAGCCAGCCTGCAGTTTACACCATAAGAGAATTAGCAGACAACGGTAAAAACAGTTCTCGGAGTTATATCCCCTATGTTCAAAAAAGTCAACAAAATCATTTTAATTTTTAATTTAACATCGAATGATGAAAACTACAGCCCCTGAAGGAAAAAAACCTTATGTTACTAGTAACAGATTATTTAAGATTCGTGAAATTAAAAGCTTAAAATTGGAATTATCCAGGGGGGCCAGGGAGGTGGATCAGCTGATAAGGGGGCTTGCCACCCAGGCTTACAGCCTGATAGCCTGATCCCCGGGACCCACAAGGGTGAAGGAGAGCGGTGACCCCCCAAAGTTGGTCCTCTGACCTCTACCCACACACATGTGCCTGTGCAGGAGCACACACACATGAACTGAGCTCTTGTGAACTCTGGGACAACAACGGGTGATGAACTAGGAAATGGGAACAGCCTCAAGCTCCTTACCCGCTGAGTGAGCAATAAGAACGCCATATCACACACCACGGAACACTACCCAGCTGTGAAGGAAAAGGAAACCCTGGGCTTTGCAGACAA